CAGAGGTTAGGAGCCCTGCCCAGATAGGTGGAGTGGAGTGCCAGCTCTCTCTCCTCCTTCTGTGTGATATCAGGGAAACGCCTACCCTCTCTCAGCCTAAGTTTCTTCACTTATAGAGTCACAAGAGAACCTATGACCTTCACTGCTTATGAGGATTAAAGGAGAGAGAGTGTGTCTGGCATGTCACCTCCTTTAATGAATCAGAATTCTCAGTGGTATTCAGAACACAGTTAGGCGAGACCCCCATCTTGGCAGCGTTTGCTCTTTCCTTGGCTGGGAGCTGGGAGTGGAGATGGGAAGGACAGCCTTGCCTATGAGTCTCAGTTGTGGGATCTGTCCATTGGGGTGGCAGCTCGGCTCTTGACCCCACACTTGGCTTTACAGAAAGTGGTGACAGCCCTTGACCGGACGTGGCACCCCGAGCACTTCTTCTGTGCCCAGTGTGGCGCCTTTTTTGGTCCTGAAGGTACAGACCAGCAGACTAGCTTGCTGCCCCTTGGGGAGGCAGGGCTTTGCTGATCACGAATCGGGGGGGGGGCCTCCACCTCCAGGGGGCCTAACCCTGCCCCCCAAACCCCACTCCTTAGGGTTCCATGAGAAAGACGGCAAGGCCTACTGCCGGAAGGATTACTTCGACATGTTTGCTCCCAAGTGTGGCGGCTGTACCCGGGCAATCCTGGAGAACTACATCTCGGCCCTCAACACCCTGTGGCATCCTGAGTGTTTTGTGTGCCGGGTAAGGAACCCTTGTCCCCGCATCTGGAGGCCCCCGGAAATGGGCAGTGCGGAGAGAAGGGCCCCCTCACTGTGCTCTCCAGATCCAACTTGGTGGCCTCATTTGGGGTTATTAATGGGGTGAGAGGCAGGGGTACACTTCCTCAAGTCCAGGGGTTTCCTGGGACTGGTTATGTTCGGGAGAAGGGCATGTGAAAATTAAATGAGACAATGCAAGCATTTAACAGCCTCCATGGAAATGAGCATTGGTTTCCAAACTGCAATCTGGGGGGTGATGGGGGCCCACAGATGTGATTAGGGATCCAGCAAGGGCCTTCTGACCAAATGAGTTTGGGAACAGTGTTCACTGCAGGACTTCTCAGGGCCTTTTATACCTAAATGTGCATGTAACTCTCCACATGGGAATCTAGGATGCAGAGCTTGACCTTGGGACCCCTTTTTCAGCACCAGGGTTTTGGGGCACACTGTTACAGCTTCCTGGTTAAGTGCCCAGGAGCCAAACCTATGTTTGAATCTAGTCTGTGCAGCTTAGTAGCTGCATGACCTTGGGCAAGTCACTTGACTTCCATGCCTCAGTTGCCTCCTCTGTTGGGAGAGTTCAGTAGTGTTTAGTGTAGCACCTGGCACGTAGGAGGTGCTTAGCAAGTGGGAGTCCTCATGAGTGTGACCATGACTGTCTCCTGCCCCGGGCTGAGCCCCCTTCCCTCCGCCTCACCCTCTCTTCCACTTGGCAGGAGTGCTTCACGCCATTCGTCAACGGCAGCTTCTTCGAGCACGATGGGCAGCCCTACTGTGAGGTGCACTACCATGAGCGGCGCGGCTCGCTGTGCTCCGGCTGCCAGAAGCCCATCACGGGCCGCTGCATCACCGCCATGGCCAAGAAGTTCCATCCGGAGCACTTCGTCTGTGCCTTTTGCCTCAAGCAGCTCAACAAGGGCACCTTCAAGGAGCAGAACGACAAGCCTTACTGTCAGAACTGCTTCCTCAAGCTCTTCTGTTAGGCGCCCTCGTCCCTTCATCTGCCCTGCCCCCTGGCCCAGCCTTCCCAACTGCTACTGTGACCCAGAGGCCTCGCCCAGGGGTGAAGGGCCAAGCCCGACTGAAACTGGAACCCGTGTCCTCGGCTGTGCAGGGTGGCAGAAGGGCCTCGAAGGGTCCTGCCTGCTTTACTTCCCTCCCTGCCAGAGCCTCTGGGCGTCCTCCCACCTCCTGCAGCTCTCCCTAGGCTGCCAGCTCTTCATCTTCGGAGGTGGGGGGCTGGAGGGCCCCACCCCACGAACCTGCCTGGCCAGGCCAGCACCCCACACTGGAGCCATCTCTTACTCATATTTCGGCAGTGTAGCCAGGGGGAGGGCAGACAGGGTCAGATGGGGTCTCTTTTTATCCTTATTTCCCCCTTGACCTAATTATCCTTGTTCTGAGAGTATTGGGGGACACCTGACTCCCTCTAGACAATGCCAGCATAAATCCATCCATCCAAGGGTCGAAGTGCCCAGAGGCTGCGAAAGGCTCCTTCCAGTCTCCCAAGGCCTGTGTGACTGCACCCCACCCCCCATAACTGCTCTGATTCTACTGAGACAGGCCTCGCCAGCAATAATGTTTTATAGTCACTTCCTCCGTCTCTGGGGATGGCGTGAGGTGGGGCATTTCACCTCGTGCCTGGACACTGTACCGACTGATTTCTACACTGAGGTTTGAATTCGTATCGTCTGAGTTGCTTTTACTTCTCTATACAAAATGATTTTGAAGAGATTTTAAAGACATCCCCTTTTGTATTCTCCTCCTCGTCCACTACCACTGGTCCTGACGGTGGCTGTGGCCTGGGGTTTGCCTTGTACTGAGGGCTTGGGATGGGAAAGCAATTTGTATTTTATTTTTTCTTAGCATAAGCAGGTGAACTGGGAGCAGCTCTGAGTCCCCCCTTCTGTAACTTCATGGCTCACCAGGACTGTTTTATAAACTGCTGTATTTTGAAACCCCTTCCTTACTACCCAGGCCAGCAAGCCCTTAACCGAAACTAGCCTAAGGGTATCTTGCCCTTGGAGTCCTAGAAGTCTGAACCTCATCCATCCTGTTCCTGAGGGAGGAGAAGGGGAAAGTACACTTTGGGGGTGCTGTTTCCTGGCTAAGCCATTGGGAGTGCCTGCTCTCCTGTGAACTCTTTGGCATCAAAAAGAACCCACGGAACATTCTCTGCCTCCTCAGTGCTTCCCTGGGGCTCCTCCTGCCTTCTCAGGAAAGCTGGTATCTGATTTTGACCATTGGTCTTGTTGATTCCACTGGGTGCATCACTTCGCCAAATTTCCTGCACCAGAGGTCTGGGGAAAAGGGCCCAGGTTATTGCAAGGTCACCTGATGGGATTCTGTGCAGATGGACAGGATCCTGCTGAAGCCATGGGAAGCCCCAGAGCTTTCTCCGCCAAGGATGAAACAGGAGCAGGCAGGCCTGGGGTTCCTGGGCAGCAGAATGGGGCCCCAGTGGGGTGTAAAAAAGTAAGATCCAGACCACTCTGTTAGCCTCCTAGCAGTGGCTGAGTTCCCTGGGGTCTCAGAAGAGGGTCCCTCCTTCATGGCAGGGCTGGGAGCAGCCATGTCCGGGGAGGTCAGCTAGACCCCTCTAAAGGTCTGATGTCTCCATTTCCACCCATAGGCCTTATTGCTCTGTTTACAGTGACCTGCCCCAGGCCTCACCCCTAGAGGACTAGGGTTTCTGGGGTCCACTCTCCGGGTCAATGGTTATTTGATGATTTGATTTTAAGTTTTTTCTCTGTAAACTTTTAACCTGGCTTTTCCCCATTTCAATTCCTGTGATTTATGCCAATAAAGTTTGCCATTATTTTGACCTTGCCTAGTGCCTTTTCTTTGTGGTCTGAGATCACAGCTTAGTCCCAGAAGAGACCAAACCCTCCCCAGACTCACAAGGACCACAGTTTGAGGGTAAATCATGGACATTTCTCTTACTTGAGGCAAAAAGCCCTGAGGATGGGACCCCTGCCCCACAAGACACTCATCTGTGGCCACAGGTCCTCCTGGCTCCCTGTATGAGCTTTGTTTTTGGGAGAAGCCTGGGGAGTAGCCTTATTGGGCCCTGTGGGAGTGGGGGTAGGGGTGCATGCTTTCCCATGATGCCTGGAGGGCATCTTTACATAGGCCTGTGGGTGGCCTTACACTCGCAGATGGGGAAAGAGGCTCAGAGAGGAGAACCAACATGCACAAGACAAACCTCTGAGTGAGCACAGACAGGATGTGAACCCAGGGCCTGCCTCTGCCTGTGGTCAGATGCCGCCGCCCCCACGTGCTGGCACAAGACTCGGTGTAGAACCTCCCCCACTGAAGGAAGCGGATTTAACCTTGACTATTGTTCTCTACTGCCTCCTGGTGGTCATGTTAATATTTGCATGCTTCTTGCTCTTGTCAGAGCCAGAGCTCCAGTCCTGGGCCCTAGGAGAGCTTCCTGGACAGTTTTGTTACCCCTTAAGCTTTCAGTTTCCCTGTTGTTTGGAATGGTCCTCCAAAAGCTGCATGTTGAATTCTAGTCTGAACCCTGCGCATTTTACAGTGATCTCAGAAGTGAAAATTACCTTTAACCCTCACCCAAGGATAAGCACAGTAAAACCTTGGATTGCGAGTGACTTGGTTTGCGAGTGTTCCGCAAGACGAGTGAACATTTCTAATACATTTTAACTTGGTAAACAAGCAATGTTTTGCAATACGAGTAGTTTGTTTCTGGAACAAATGCTCGCAAACCAAGGTATTACTGTATTTGGTTTATTCTTCCAGGCCATGTCGGATTATTTTATTTACAGAAATGGATATGGTACACTTCCTTGTAATTTGCTTTTTCACCCAAGTGTACTCTGTGAGTATTTTCCCATGTCAATAAATAGACTGCTGCATCGTTTTTTAATGGGTTCATAGTACTCCAATTAGAGATGATATTTATACCATCAGAGCAGGGATGTTCTTGGAAAGGTACCATGTTGAGTTATGTGTATACTTGGCAAATGCATTTAGGGTGAGACACTTTCAGGGTTTGGAAGGGACTATAGCATAGTGAGGCCCATGAGCTTTGAACTTGCTCTGAGATTTCAGTTCTGAAGGCATCATTTACTGACTGAGGGACTTGGGCAAATTATTTAATCTCTGTGAATTTTCTCATCGATAAAGCGGAAATACTGAAACCACTTCCTCAGGTGATTGTTGCAAAGATTAACAGCGGTAATGTGCACAAAGTAACCTGGCACAATTTGCTGAGCGTGCAGTAATACCTAGTCATCAAAAAGGGATCTTAGCAGTAAACTCCAGCAGTTCTGGAAACCCATTCATCATCAGAGGCACTAGGAGGCTTTAACACAAAATACAGAGATTTCTAACTTGGTCAAGTGCAAAGGGTGGAGATAGGGAGAAACCCTTCTGCCTTAGGATCTAGGCTTGTTTTAAAAAAAGTATTCATACAGCACAATTGTCCAAATAAACGTTGAATGAATGTATAATAAAAGAAGCTAACATTTAATGACTTCCTCCTGCATTCCAGGAACTGCGTTATGTCTTAACACATATCTCATGTAATCCTCATAACAACTCTAGACTGTGGATACATTCCCCATTTACAGATAAGCAAAGGGAAGCAGAGTGTCTGCAAGGCGAAACCACTTCCAAGATGACATAGATAGCAAGCAGCAGAACAAGGATATGGAAACAGGTCATCTGACTGCAAACCCTGCGTTCGTTCATTCAGCAAGTATTTATTATATGTCTACTATGTGCTAGGCACAAGGCAAAAATTTCTGCCTTGTGGCGCTTGTATTCTTGCAGAGACAAACAACAATGTAATAAATGAATTATATAGTGTGTTAGAAGATGGAAGTGCTACGGAAGAAATAGAGTAAGGAGAGAAGTGGGAGTGGATTCTTTTTTATTTTAATTATTTGGTAATTTTATTTTATTTTATTTTTTATTTTATTATTATTATTTTTTTAGCTGAGCCATCCTGCTACCTGTTGGCAGCTCAGCGGCTGCTCAGCTCGGGCTGGACTTGAACTGCTGTTGCTCAGAGCTCAAACTCTTGAGCGAGCTCTTAACCAACGGAGCCACTCGACCAGCCCTTATTTGGTAATTTTAAATAGGTAATCAGGGTAGGCTTTGTTGAGCAGGTGATATTTGAGCCAAGATTTGATTGATGGAGGTATTAACTCTTCTGGATATCAGCAAGGAGACTTCCAGGAAGAGGGAATAGCTAGTGTAATAGCCCTAAAGCAGGCACATCGTCTGGCTGGAAGGGAATGAATCGGTAGAAAAATAGATGAGATTATAGGGGTAGAGTTGGGGAGCAGATCATGTAGGGCCTTGTAGGCGGTTTAAATTTTCGGCTTTTTACTTTGAGGGAAAGGGGAGCCTTTGAAGAATTTTGAGCAGATGAAGAAATGATCCGAAACTTGGGTTTTAAAGGGTCTTTTTGCTTTGGTAGGGCTTTGAAGAACAAAGTGTACAGGAGACAAGAGACCATTCTGTTTGTAAAGCATGTACAATTATTTCTTAGCTCCACCTCATCCTCTTTAGTTTGCGACATGGACAGGTGGGGGGCGGGGGAACGGTTACTCGTAGTTTACAAACTCTAGCGCCTACACGAAAGCAGCTCCAGTCCAGCAGAGGGAAGCAGCTCTGAGAAAGCTCCTCCAACACAACCCCTCCTTCTTAACTTCCTTACCTAGAGGCGGGTTCCCGTAAGCTGGAGTGGCAGCGATATCACCCAATGGCTGCCTTTATCAGTTCTGCTTTGCCAGACAAGAGTCGGCGCCAGCCAATAGGCCGGGGCACTGTCTGCGGCTTATGATTGGCCAATTTGTTCGCATATAAAAGTCGCGCGCCGACGTGCGGCCCTTCTCTGGCCAGGCGTCCTCGTGAGAGGTTCGTGTGGTTGCGCAGTGGGGACTTGCTACGGGAAAAATGGGCGTCTTTCGGCGGGGGCGACTTGGGGACCCTGGAGTTCAGGCCTGTTCGGCCTGGGGTCTCGGCGGCAGCTCGTGCTCCCCAGCTGGCGGCGGCGGCCTCAGGCCAGGCCCGCGGGCGCTCACGCGTGGCCTGCTCGGCCTAGGCCGCGCGTCTGGGAGCCCGGCGGGGCGGTGGGGATGCGTGTTAGGTGTCTGAGCTCTTTTTCTCTCTTTAGTGACATCGTCTTTAAACCCTGCGTGGCAATCCCTGACGCACCGCCGTGATGCCCAGGGAAGACAGGGCGACCTGGAAGTCCAACTATTTCCTTAAGATCATCGTAAGTGCGGGGTGGGTCGCGGCCACCCATTATGCTACCCCGGCTCCGGGCACTGACAGGGACAATCAGCTGCCCAGTGCTGAGCGCATACTAGGTGTCAGCTACTGAATGAAGTCATTTTAGGCAAATCTCACTTAATCTTAAAAATCTCCCGAGATCTATGGTCCCCTTTCCCTCTTGTTGCAGATAAACAGGCTAGGGTGGTTACGTGGCTCCTAAGATAACATTTGTACTCAGGTCTGTCTGGTTTCTAAATATGGCTCATTAAACTTTTACTCCTGCTTCCATCTTTGGGGGACGTCTGAGGCAATGAGTGACTCAAAACAAGTTGTGGCATATTTATGTCTTGTCAGTCAGGAAACCCAGTGTCCAATTAATGTTAATCTTTAGGAAGGCCTTGATGTGGGTCTACCCTGCCCAGAAATTCTGACCATGCTGCCCTTCATGCATTAGGATGCATTGTGGAGCTTTGTCTTAAGTCCTTCCCCCGTTTATCATGAAGGTTTTCAGACAACATTTAGCAGAAATGTACAATAATCATATCCACAAAGGAACTTCAAGTGATGCTCTTTGTTCTATTTGCTTTATGTTGTGTTTTGAATGCTATAAATCTAACCTTACTTGGAACAGGGTTGTTGTTTTTTCTTTTTTCCTCTGTTAGCCGTCTTAATCAGACATTTTTAAAAAATCAATTTTTCATCATTCACACTCAGCAAGCCTTTGACAAATCTAGCAGTGCTACAACTCAGGTGGCTCCTAGTAGGAGGAATGGGCCCAATCTCTGAGTCACTTGAAACGCGTAGAAGAAAGGGGAATAAGGTGGAAACCAGCTATTGNTTATTAGAATAGACATAAAGACAAGTGCACGTATCGTAAGTGAATAGCTCACTGGATGACTGTAAACTAAACACACCTGAGCAACCAGCGTCCAGATCCAGAAGCAGAATAGTCCCAGCACGCCAGCACCGCCACTCGATAGCATGTTAGATTTTGAGGCCATTTGTATTGCCTTTGTTTCATTCATTTAACAGATGTCCACCTGAGAGTTTTGCTGTACCAGGTGTTTTCCGAGAGTCCTATTTTGCCGTTACTTTTTCCTCTCGGGAATTCTCTGTCAAATAAATGGGGTCTGTCCAGTGGGCAGAGATCGTGTCTGACAGAGTGCCTGGCTGGAGCAGATGCTCGCGAAGCAGTTTTTATTGACTGATCTCTGTGTGATGTTTGGTTTCAGAGCTGCCGGAGGGAGCAGTGAAAGGGCTCTGCAAGTTATTCTGCTTGACTCTGCATCGGTACAGGTGAGTCCCAACAAAGGCCCAGGGTCTGGAACACTTTGTGCAGAGAGGTGGTTCGAGCCCAGTCTTTAGAGCCTGACATTCTGAATCCAAATATGGGTCCTGTCATGTCCTAGCTGGTGGATCCTGGCCAAGGTGTTCTTCCCTTTTCTGATCCCTTGACCTCTCTGTACCTCAGTTTCCTCAACTGCAGACTGGGCATGATGCTCTATCATCTACCTCATAGGTGGTGGCTAGTAGGTGTAAAGTGCCAGAATAGTGCCAGTCACGCCATGAATGCTCAGTCT